CATGTTCACGGGGTCGTATTCGCTTCTAAACTGAAGAGTTTTTTTTTTTCCCACCCCCCACTTTGTAGCAGTCCTACTGATATGTCTTCCAACCAGTGAGTGGTCAAGCACAGGGAGAGGACAGTTACGTCACACGTGTCCCTTTGCGTAGCATCCAACACAATTTTCCAGATGACACACTTTTGCAAAATTAAACAAAATGCAGTCATTCGAATTATGTTTAAAATTCGAGATGAATAACCAACACATGCGGGGGCTACGCGCTGACCACGCCAAGGCAACCCCATTTTGAGTTGCCTCCAAAAAAGAGATATGCTTCTGAAAAAAAAAAAAATAAAATAATTCACACCGAATGGGACAAAATTTAACAAACACCACACCAACGCTTGTGGTGAAACATATATATATACATATATATATAATATAAAAAAAAGGACACCGGGTGGGCAGCTATGCGTATGTGTAGTGTGACATTTTTTTCGCTTATTAGGAAGGCGTGACAGGTGGGTGATGACCGCAAATGAGCGGTGTGTTTAGCAACTGGGTCCCTCACCGCTTGTATCGCCGCTGTCCTCGCCCCCCCCCCCTAGACGTAATACTTAACAATGTTGCTGGAGCGGAGGACCGTCTTGAAGATATTCACAAACTCGGTGCACTCGTCGGTGGCCTGGTCGGGCAGGCCCTCGGTGACCAGCTTCTGGCGCACGGTACTCAAGAGGTAATTATATTTGTCGTTCCACTTGGCCTCTTCCGTGGACTTCTCTTCCTCTGTAAGTTCGATAAGGTTATATTCTTTTTTTTCTTCTTCCTCTTCCATTTTGAGCAATTCTACCACATGGTCTGTTTGTGTTGAGTCCTGCTCCTCGGCTGGGCTTAAGGGTGGCCTGTCCATCTGACCCTTTTTATTTTGTTCACCATTCTTATGGTCCCCACCCTGGTCGTTTCCCTTAACAGTGGCAATGTCTTCCTCGTTGAGCAACCCGTTATGGTTGTGCGCATCGAGGAAGTGCGGGACCTTCTGGTCGTTAGTCAAAATGGAGAGCTGTGACATTTGAAGCCTCTTCTGCAAAATGTTATTAGAAGTGTTCAGTGGCAACATCAAGGAGAGTATCATGAGGGACTTAATTAGGAAGGGGTAGTTCTGAGGGTACACTAGGTGGATCCTCTGCTTAGAAAAAATAGGAGACTCTAAAAGAAAAATTAGGTTATCTAGTTGATGAAAAAAATCAGCGTTGAGGTTCAACAAGGACAAGTAGGAGCAGATGAGGTAAGCCAACTTATACTTTTGTAACCATAGAAGAAATGAAATGGCAGAAATAGGATTCCTCAACCAGGAAATTAAAATTAAGGAGAACAAGGAATATTGCTTCTTAAGAAAGAGAGCGTTTCGTAAGTACTTAGTTTCCTCTGATGTTAGAAGGACCCAACATAAGACCTGAATTAATTTTGTAACAAAGGGTATCCTTTCTTCATGGATTAAGGAATAGGAGAGGTAGGCAAAAAATTTCTTATTATTTAAACAACGTGATATGTGTTGCACGATAATTTTCCCCTTGTGTATTAATAACTGATCATCGTTGCGAAACAGGGCAATTAAATTGTTACTCACTTGTTCATAAAAATGAAATTTATTGTCTACAGTTGAACACATGGCGGACAGAACCGTTAGGGACAGCAGTACCACCTGCTTGTCATTATTTCTAAGACACTTGAATACGCAGGTGATTATTTCATCGTAGTGTTTTTTTATCACTTCATTTTTGTACATAAGAATTTCAATCAACCACTGCAGGCAGATGATCACTGGGTAGATGCTCCGCTTGTCCAGGCTGTCGTGGAAAATGTCTTCCTCAAAATCGGAGGCGGGGTCAACGCGGCGGTCTGGACCTCCCTTCGCGTCTCCACCACCACTTAGGTGTGCATCCCTATCTGCATCTGTGCCTGCACCCGCGCCTGACGCTTTGAATGAAGCTTTGAATGAAGCTCTAGCTGAATCTCTAACTGCACCTGTGCCCTCCCCCTCGCTGACGTACCCGTGGCGACTTGCCCGCTTAGCGAGCTTCCTAATGTAATATGCTTCCGTCTTGAGGGGATCCCGCAGAGGAATTTTCTTCCCCCTCAGTTCGCTCATCAACCTCTCATGCTTCTGCATAAATTTTGCACTGTAATTGTTGCGCCGGGGAGGGGCCTCCCCCTCACCCTCCTCCTTCTGCTGTTCGTTCGTGTGGATGTCTTCGACTTGTACGCCATTGGGGGGCGTGTCCGCCCGCGCGACTTCTTGGCCACTCTCCGTCACAGGGACGCCCTCTTTGCTTTTATCCTCGTCTGAGGAGTCCCCCTCCTGGTAAAACAGGTTGTACGACTCGTAGCTGAAGTCATCGCTTCCTCCACCACGTGCGCCTTCTAGCACGTGCGGTTCGTTTGTATTATCTGCCCCATTTGACTCGTCTACATAATCTGCTTTATTTGTTTTGCCAGCCACGTTGGTCTCCCCCGATTCGCTCCCATTGGGTTCGCACCTCGGTTGGCGTTTCTGTCCACAGGGGTCCTTCCCTAGTTCACTTATCCCCTCCACAGTGTCTTCATTCCTTGTTTGGCGTCTCCCCTCAAGGGTGTAATCACTCTGTGCTTGGCTTCTCCTCTGTGGGGTATTCTCAGCACCCCCCTTGGCACGCCTGCTCAGCTGGAGCGGTTTGCTCCACCTGCGGTTAATTTCTCGTAGTGAGTTTCCTTCGCTCGCACGATGGGCCTCCAGAGAGTGCCTGGATTCTCTCGTCGTCTGATTTGCTGTTCCCGCTTCGCCCGCCTGACTCACTTCATTCCTCCCGGAGAGCTCAACCTTGTTGATGGTGCTGCAGATAATGGTACACACAAGCTTGGTCAAAAGAGGCGCACATTTCATCTCCGAAAATTTAACATAGCTGATCAAAAGCTCGCTACACTTCCTAGCAGTGTAGTGGATATCAAAATGCAAATGAGCTGTGCAGGCGATGACTCTTTTAATTAATTCACAAATGAACAAATTATTCTTCTTTTCATTTCTATATATGTGATAAAAATGAACATTTAAAATTTGAATAAAATGATAAAGCCAAAGAAGACACTTATGCTTTATAATTGTATTTTTATGTATACAAAATTCAATAAAAATAAAAGCAATATGTTTAAAAAATGACCTGACTTGTTCATAATTTGAAGTGATAATTTGATCTACATATAAATCGAGACATTGATTTGCTTGTTTTTGAATATCTCTGTTTTGATCTGCTAACATATAAAAAAGATCACTAATAAAAAAATGGAAATACTCAAATAAGTTAACCGTTTTGATGTTCTGAAAGAGAAGGAGCCAAGATAGGATAACCTGTCTTGCGTTTGAATTTTCTATACTAATTCTTTCTTTTAAAATAAAAATAATTTTGTAAATATTAAAAACATTATTGTATGAACAAGTCAGGTCTTTTAATAAATTGTCAAGAAAGGCTCCTCCACTTTTAACATTTGGACAGGTATCGGAACAGATACGAAAGAGACAATCAAAAATATCTTCGATATAATAAAAGACTACACTTTTTGATACTTTGCAAAGATTGTAAAGACTTTCACACACATAATATCTGACTTTGGGATCCGGGTCACTTACACATGATACAATTAATTTCAAAATAGAAGAGAAATAAAATTTTATTTGTGTATCCACAGTGATCGAGATGAAGGCCAAGGCTATGAGTCCTCCACACCTTTCCGCGGGATTTATACTTTGTACAAATTTTTCCTGCAAAAAATTTATTATGCTCATCACCTTTTTGTTTTGGTATTTATTCGCAACGTTCTCTATGTCAACATCGTGTTCATACAATATTTTGTTTACCTGACTCAGTTGACTTAACCCGCTTGATCTGCCTGACTTGTTCATTTTTTTTTTTCTTCTTTTTTCCATTTGGCTCATCTCTGCGGGTGTTATAGCGGACATTCCTCGTTCATACTTTCCGTTAAACAGACCCGTTGATTTCCCAATGGCCATGTCAATATCGCAGTTCTCTTGGTATTTCTCCAGGAGGAGTTTCTTTATTAATTCGGACCCCAAGAGGAGCTTCTCTTCACTGGGTTCCTTCAGCAGGGTGTTCATCTTTTCCACTTCTCCTGATTTTTTTTTTTCCCGATGGTTATTGTCCTCTTCCATGCTGACCTCGTCGACCCTCTTCTCCTGCTCCGCAGTCACCTCAGCACTTGCCTCGTCTGTCCTCTTCCCCTGCTCTGCACTGATGACCTCGTCAGTCCTTTTCCCCTGCTCCGTGTAGTCCCTAAAGTAGTGTTCACTATTTCCTACGTCGATCTCCGTCTGCGAATTCAACCCCTCAAATATGTGCACATCCTTTTGCGCAAGGTTATTGTATTCATCTGACACGCCTCCATCTTGGTCACATTCATTGAGTATGTAATCCACCTGTACCTGTTCATCTTCCTTTTCCTTTAGTAGCAAAAGTTTCACAACCTCTGCGATTTCCTGCGCACCCTTTTTCCTCTTCTCGTATGTTTTGTCTCCAAGCAATTTTTGAATGTTTGCGCTGATTACGTCTTCTTTGGCCTCATTTTTTTCGAGGCCCTTGATTAGGTTGAGGAACATGGGGTTCGGTCGGGGTGGTTGCCCGCGGAGTTTATAGGGGCAGGAAAAAAACACCTCCTCCAAATTAAAAATGTATGCACACGCAGTTGTGCAGGCGTTACACAGGAGCAGTTGTGAAGAAGCAGTTGTGAAGAAGCAGCTATGCAAAAGGGTGGGTCAGGAAGAGGGAAAACACACACTCCGACATTTGCAAAATGCTCAACGGAGGTGATTAATCCTGAAAAGACTCCACCTGCTTATTATGCCGCCTGCATATGTCATATCACAGGGTGAAAGGAAAAAAAAAAAAAAAAAAAAGTGGAAAAAAAATTAAAGCAAAATTCGTATGGGAAAAATCTACACCCACACGAGTACGCACGATGCAAAAGAGGCAAGTTACTAAACGAAACAAAGTACCAATTTAAAAATGAACAAAAGAAAAAAAAAAAAAAAAAATGACAGATGATAAGTTACGATTGACAAATCTTTGTTACAGCCAGTTGTGACGCTGAAACAAAGCTCATAATATTGTGTTCGTAACGAAGCAACATGAGGGGTAGGCACATAAAGCATGTTGAACGAAAAAAAAAAAAAAAAAAAAAAAAAAAAATGCTCGGGGAAAACGCCCTGGGCTGCTATGCTATAATCCCGTCCCCCCGTTCGCAAAAAATGACAACGTGAAAAATGCACACGTGGAAGTATATCACGTAAAAATATTTGTATCGTTTGCTCACGGATGGGGCTTTGCGTGTACGTATGCACAAGGCGGCGTCCCCACAGTCATCACACGGCAGTCGCTCCCAAATGTGCGCACTTAAGCGTGAACCTGCTAAGGACACAAACCTGCGGGGTGCTGTCCACAGGAGTGGCAAAATGGTTAAAACAACTCGGGTGCGAAAAGTGAACAGAAGGGACCAAGTAACCTGAAGAAGACAATTCACAAAAGCCCATTCGCTTCCATTAGGAGCGACAGAAAAGGCGAAAGCGAGAGTTGGGTGTGTATACCGTTGGTTGAATGGGCATACGCATGTGAAGTGAGCAGCCTGCCGCGTACACCCACTGGTGTTTGTCATGTCGGGCGCTTGTGTACGTCCATGCGTTTATGTGCCCCCGTGGGTTTAAATGCGTTTCTGTTTTCCTTCATTCTTCCCTTATTGTGTTCCCATGCACTACCCCTCGTGGAGGATCACGCACCGACGTGTAGCGTGCGCCCCTTGCCACATGTTTAAAACGGTGCTCCGATGGGCCATCACCGGTTCTTCATTTTTTTTTTTTTTCACTCTGTACTTTAGCAAGCGTTATGGAAACACGTGCTTAATAAGGGGAAGGTAAAGATGTACGCATAAAAAAGTATTTTTTTTTTTTTTTTTTTTTTTTTTTTTTTGCCCATTGTATACACCAACTTAAAAGCAGCACAAGTATAAATAAAAAAAAAAATTCAATTTTGTACGCTTGTGAAATTGTTAAGCTTTGTAAGAAAGTCAGCCCCCCCATTTGGAGAGGTACACGTTGAGCGAAGCAGGAAAAACTCTCTCGTCGAATAGTTTGTTGCGCAAGTGCGTTCCTTCGCGTTGTATGCCGCGACGGGGAAGGAGATACATTTTAACCGTTTTTAGAAGCGGGCGGAGAGGCGAATCTGCAAAGCTGCTACGCGACGGCGAGACGACTTCCCCAAAGGGAGGCACGCGAAGAAGAAGCCGCTGAGGAGAAGCGCACGAACCGTGCTTGCATCCATTTCTGCGCCGCACGTCCGTAGATGAGTTGTGAGAGTACAGGCAGGCAAAACCCTTCTCTGACCAATGCCGGTACTCGCCGCAGCTGACCCATAGCACCCTTCCCATTTTCACGAAACAAGTCACCTCCGTAAGCTCATTATTATGCAACAGAAAAATCCTCCCCTGGTAAGTCCCTTTTGCGTCTGAACGGTGGCCGTCTCTTCCGCGGCGACATACTCGTGCGTGACGGCCGCCTCGCGGCTAACTACCGCCTCACCGCTGACCACCGCCTCATTTGTGCCGCTTCCCCCCCCTCACGTGTGCCGCTTCCCCCCCCTCACGTGTGCCGCTTTTCCCCCTCACTGGTGCAGAAAAAACAGCGCACGTACGAATCCGTTAACGTCGAGGAGATGGAAGGAAAGCGGGAAGCCCCCGAAGGATGCAACATGGTGGCGAAGAAGGAGAACGAAGAGATTGACGCAGATTTATACTCAAGACAGTTAGGCACCTACGGCTTTGAATTAATGAATAAGTTGATAAAGCTCAACGTTCTTATAATAAACGTGAAGAGTGTTGGTTTGGAGTGTGCTAAGAATTTAATTTTATCTGGACCCAAATCTGTGTGCATATACGACAATGAGGTGTGTCACTTGTCTGACGTAGGAGTGAATTTTTTTATAACTGAAGAAGACGTGGAGAAGAAAGCGACTCGCAGTGATGCAGTGATAAAGCAGTTGAAGGAATTGAATAGCTATGTACACATATACAATTACAAAGGAGAGTTAGATGAGCAATTTGTACAATCGTTCGACGTGGTTGTATGCTGTGATGTGAGTCATACTGAGTTGGTTAAGTATAGTAAAATGGTGAGGAGCATTTCTTCTGTAAAAAAAATCGCATTCCTCTGTTGCAATATATATGGGTTGTGTGGGTGTTTGTTTGTTGATTTTGGAAATGGCTTTGTGTGTTATGATAAGGATGGAGAAAATGTGAAGTCCTGTAGCATTAGTAAGATTAGTAAAGCGGTGGAGGGAGTGGTGTCATTCGACTGTGACAAAGGGGCCCCTTTCCAGAGTGGAGACTACATTAAATTTACTAACGTAGAAGGGATGACACAGATTAATAAAAAAATATATAAAATAAAAGATATGCACAAATATACCTTTACCATTGGGGACACTTCACAGTTTAATGATTATGTGAAGGGAGGGGAGTGTACTCAGGTGAAAAGTCACCTCAGGATGGACTTCCAGCCGTATGAATTTGTTTGTGAAAATCCCTTATCCTGGGAGGGGGCAGCGATAAATGGAAGCTCCGTCACAACGCCTGACGATGAAACGATCTACGAAGATGTGCCCCCACCTCAGTCCTTCCTCATTTCAGATTATGCAAAATTCGATATGAGCAATCAGCTGCATTACGCCATTCAGGCATTAAAGAAATTTGAAGCGGAGAATAATAATGTGTTACCACAGAATTGTGAGGAGGAGGTTGTGGAGAAGGTGTTTAAGATTGCTGTTTCGCTGAATGAGGGAGATAAGGAAATGAAAAAGACATATGCTGTGGAGGAAGTGAAAAAAGAAGTAGTGTTAAAGGTGGTAAAGTATTGTACATCTCACCTTGCACCAGTTGCCTCCTTCTTTGGAGGGCTACTAGCACAAGAGGTAATAAAATATACAGGAAAATATATGCCCATCTACCAACTCCTTTATATGGACTTTTTCGAATGCATTTCTCTCGGCTCGGAAGGGGAAAGCATATGTATAAAAAATGAAGAGATAGCAAAGGAGAATAGTAAAAATGATAATGTCATTAGTGTATTTGGTAAATCCTTCCAGAAGAGACTAAACCAATTGAATGTATTTCTTGTAGGATCAGGTGCATTAGGATGCGAGTACGCTAAACTTTTTTCCCTACTAGATATGTGTTCAGGTGGGGCAAATGGCAAGTTGACCATAACCGATAATGATAATATTGAAGTTTCAAATTTGAATAGGCAATTTCTTTTTAGAAGAGAAAATGTAGGTAAATCAAAATCGCTAGTTGCAGGTGGAATAATAAAAAAAAAAAATAAAAACATGTGTGTAGAATCGCTGGAGACAAAAGTGGGACCAGAAAATGAAAATATTTTTAATGAACATTTTTGGACTAAGCAACATATGATTGTTAATGCATTAGATAATATTCAAGCAAGACAATACATCGATAATAAATGTGTGTGGTATTCTAAACCGTTGTTTGAATCGGGTACACTGGGTACCAAGGGAAATGTGCAAATCGTTTTACCATTCCTGACTCAGTCATATAACGACAGTTATGACCCTCCAGAAGATTCCATCCCTTTGTGTACGTTGAAACATTTCCCTTACGACATTGTACATACGATAGAATATGCCAGAGATATTTTTCAGGGGCTCTTTTACAACACCCCTTTAAGTCTACAGGAATTTTTAAAAGATAAAAAGGAGTATGTGAAAAAAATACAAGAGGAAGGAAATAATGCCTCTCTGTTGGAGACCTTGCAAAATGTGTTGACCACTCTGAAGGAAGTTTCGAAAGAAGCTAATTTTAAATTTTGTATAAAAAAAGCAGTAGATTTATTTTATACAAATTTTATTAACCAAATTAATCAACTTTTATATTCTTTTCCATTAGATTACAAATTAGCTAGTGGAGAATTTTTCTGGGTTGGTCAGAAGAAACCTCCTCAAGTTATTTCCTTCGATGTGAATAATGAATTTGTAAAAGAGTTTCTCTTTTGTACATCTAACCTCTTTGCACAGGTTTATAATATCCCACAATGTTATGATTTGAAATATATATTAGATGTAGCTAGCCAAATTGAAGTGACCCCATTTCAGCCAAAAAGAGTGAAAGTAAATATGGATGAAAAAAATCTGAACAATATTTCCATCTCCTTCGTAGATGATGAAAAATTGATTCAGGATTTCTGCAAAGAATTATTAAATGTAGAATGTCAACATGTGAAGGTGTCTCCAATCGAGTTCGATAAAGATGAAGAAACAAATATGCATGTGAATTTTATTTACTCCTTTGCAAATCTGAGGGCTATTAATTATAAAATTGAAACATGCGATAAATTGAAAGCTAAATTGGTTGCTGGAAAAATCATCCCCGCTCTGGCCACCACCACTTCCATCATTACTGGCCTTGTCGGAATTGAACTGCTAAAGTATGTGAATTATTGTGACTACCTTCAGATGTATGTGAAGGCAACAGAGGAGGAGAAGAAGAAGAAGGAGATGAAGGACGTGCTGTCCTATTTTAAAAACGCCTTTATCAACACCGCTCTGCCCCTTATCCTCTTCTCGGAACCCATGCCACCAATCAAGGTGTGCGACAAGGACTACGACGAACTCATGAAGGGCCCCATCAAGGCCATCCCCAACGGATTCACCTCCTGGGACAAAATTCAAATACACATAGGTAGGCGCAGTTAAGCGGTTGAGCAGATACGCGGTCGAGCAGATACGCGATCGAGCGGTGCGTTATACATGCGTGCTGTTTATGTTTCCCGCTTCACCCCGTCACCTCTCCACCCCTTCACCGCTTCTGCACTTCACCGCTCAACCCCCCGCAGTGAACGGAACCATCAAGGACCTGATCGACCACATAAGCGACAAGTTCAACATCGAAGTGAACCTCATTTCCGTGGGAAACGCCTGCCTCTACAACTGCTACCTGCCCGCACACAACAAGGAACGCCTGAACAAACCCATTCACCAAATTTACCAAGAGATCACCAAGCAGAAGTTGCCCGATGACAAAAACTACATCGTGGTGGAAGCCAGCTGCAGTGACCAGGACCTCGTGGATGTCCTCATACCCTCCATTAAGTTTATTTACAAGTGAGGGTCCACACGGGGGAGGTCGAAGCGGAGGAAAGAAAATGTGTCACAACGGCACTTTTTTTCCGGATCGTGTAATAGACGTATGGAGGGAGAGCGGCGACCCGTAGGCATTTCCCCCATTCGCCACCCCTTCATGTGCCGTACCTTTCGTGTGCGTTGGATTGACCACCTACGACGCAGCGACGTGATGGCGAATGCTATTGCTCCGTTGCCATCCCATATGTTTTCCTGAATAGCTAAAGGGGTTACATTCGATTTTATAATGTATACAATTTTTTGCTAACGCCCATGTGCGGGTTAGCATTATTTTGGGAGCGTTTTCACGAATGGCCCACCGAAGGCGTGAGGCAAACAAAAAAAAAAAAAAAAAAAAAAAAAAAAAAAGAACAGCGAACAAATAAAAATGTAAAAATGTAAAAATATAACTTTATAAACGAATTAAGCAGAGACCGTCGCGAGTGGCATTAGCGCCGCCTCAAAATTTCCCCCTGAAGTCAACCAACTTAAAGTCCTTGCTCCCCTTGAGCGAGTTGTATATGCCGAACAGGGTGGCAACATCGCGGAACCCTGCGGCCTCAATCATAATGTCTAGGACCGAATCGATCATATTGTTCATAAACGTTTCACAGTAGAGTTGGACATCCCCCGGGGGGGACGAAGGGGAGTCACTCCCATCTGGGCCGCCACACGCGGCAGCGTGAAACACGTTCGTGAGCGGAGTCACGGCCTCGTCGTGAAGGGCGTCCTTAGGAACGTCCATATTTGTCTTCAGGACGTGGAAGTTGTGGTGTATGCTCTTGTTGCAGCGAATGTAGTTGGAGACAAACGTTTTGAGGTTGCCCAAGTAGCTGACCAGTTGCTCCTTTCTCTTTCCTCCGATTTGGGTTTTCTCCCGATTGGTGCGCGCGTTGGGTGCACTGCTACTTTTAGCTGTGCTTGTCCCACTTGGCGTCGTGTCGGAGCTGTGCACGCTGCTTGCCTGGTTCTCCTCCACGGGGCGCGCATCAAAGATGCGAAAGCCACGCTGCTCAAAGAGGTGGATAAGAGCATCATTCGAGAAGCCCAATTTGCTGAAGATGAGGCGATAGGTCTGCTTCAAGAGCTTCTTCTCTTGCACCACGTCCGGGTTGTGCAATTTCAGAAGATAAAAAAATCGAACCCACAACAAATCATCCTCACAACGGTGCCTCTTCACCAATTTGTCTTTCGCATATAATTGAAGATACTCCTTGGACAAAATTCTGTGAAATCTTTTTCCCCCCCTGGATGTAAACCTAGAAGTATAAACATACTTGTACAATACTTCATTCTCATCCTTATAATTGGCCGCTTTAAATATTTTAATGAGGACATTTGCAACGTCTTGCGGCTTTAAAGCTAAGTAAAAGTAAATCAGCTTTGCCTTGAGCTTATCTGATAGCTGCTCATATGTGGAGTATTTAATTAAATTATATTTGGGGTCATATATTTGCGATAGGTATTTAATTTTTAAAAAGTCCAGGATGTATCTTTTTCGTACTTCCACAGGGATGCATAATCTTAAGCTCCTTAAATATTTAATGAGGAAAATTCTCAACACCTTTAATCCCAGGACACAATAAATTTTAAACTTATTGTGTTTGATAACGTCGTCTGTTACATTCAATGTATGTTGTGTCGTGGCGAATGGAACATTTTCATTGTCATATGTGTACAGGTTGGTGAACAGTTTGTTCAGATTTACACAAACGTCTTTAAATAACAGATGAGGGGATACTTGTAGGAAGTTTCCCAATCTCACCATGATTTCGTTGCACTCCTCTTCGAAGTTAAACGTCAGGTGGGGCATCATTTCGGCGGAGCTCGTGATGATTGCTCCTCCTCCTGGGTTGACTCCACCATGGACATCACTAACGGAGCTGCTCGTCACTTTACCTGCTCTACAACGGGTTGGCACTTCACAGGGGGATTTCTCCCATCCGTTTTCTCTCCCTCCACGCCTCCTAACAGTGTAATTGCTCCTCACGAAGGTTAACATCCGTTTTGTCTTTTCTCTTCCTTTTTGATTCTCCCACTGGGGGAAGAAGCACATCCCTATTTTACCCCCCCTTGAGCGCACCTTCGAAATTTCCGCCACGCCTCCCCTTTTACAGGACACATTTATCACGTGGGGGAGGTGACACTTGGTCCCCATGCACTGGTTCATTTGGGCGAGGAACAAAAATAAAATGAACGAGACAAAGATGATTTTTTTTAACTTCCTTTGGTTACTTTTCAGCATTTTTTTTGTGTGTTCCCTTGGGGAGGGGCCACTCACTCAACGGTTATAGTGTTGGTTGGCAGTTGCACTATGGTGTGGTGTTTGTTTTTTTTTTTTTTTTTTTTCTTCTTTTCCTCTTGAGGCAATCGCACCTCCTTCATACTTCATTCACGCTGTAAATGCTGCACACTGGTTGCCTCCCATCTTTGGGCGTCCACTGTTGCAACGCTTCTATCATAACCCCGGGACACTGCGCAAAAATTATCTACACAATTATTTCAACTTCCGTGAGACAATTTTACACAGTTGGGTGACTGTCGCCTGTTCTCATTGTTTGCATTTTTTTTTTTTTTTTGTTTATTTTTCGTGGACTGCTCATGTGGCACAAGTGTATTAACATGTGCAAGTGACTTTTCGCTCTTTCGACAGCCACGAGTGGAAGGAAATAAACTTAGCAATACGTGGAACAAACATGGTTAAAATAAGCCAAGAGGGATGCCTCAAAGGAATGGAGATTTTATGTTACTGCTACGAGTGGGGAACTCTCCTCACGAGCAAAACATGTTGACATACAAGAGAAACTTGGAGCATGAAAAAATGGCTACTTAATATTTTTTTTTTTTTTTTTTTTTTTTTTTGCTGCATTTTTTACCTGACTCGTTAATAAATTTTCATTTTAGCTAGCTCTCATCCCATCATGGCAAAATGTGTTCCAACCTAACAGGAAAGTGGCGGCGTGTGAATGGCCCCAATGAAGTATTCTACTTGGCCGATTGGGACATCCCCATTTTCTTCTTTCTTTTACCGAAACGATGTGCACATCGGATAAGCAAAGGCACAACGAGTTAATAAGCAAAAAATGTTAAGAACAAATTTTTAAAGACTTCTAATGTAAGTAACGTTGACGATTGAGTTGACACCACCTCCTAGTTAACACAACTTACTTTTGCAAATATTGCGGGGGGTTAAAATACACACAAAAAAAAAAAAATTAATAACACGAATGGGGAAGATGCGTCAACTGGAATGGTGAACAAAGGGAACAAGTCGTCTCTTCACGTCCGTATGCAATCCCCTCTTCGCAAAAAAAAAAAAAAAAAAAAAAAAAAATGCATCCCTGCATTTACACACTGGACGGCGAATTAGCACGTCACTCAAAAAAAAGCAACTGTTGAGAACGTGCTACTAACACTCGATCGGTGCGAAAATATGCAGAGCAATTTTTAAAAGCTTTTGAGATGGGGGGTGACAGGGCACAATACTGTGTAGTACACCTCATTGCCAACATATAACGGCTATTTTTTTCACCCCCAGAATGGCTACGCTTCAAAGGTCAGACTCTCACTAAACCTTTCTAGCTCCCTCAACTTGTCGTCCTCCGTTGCAAAAGAATATAAATTCTTTTTGCGTCCCGTCCAACTGAGTAACGTTAAGTGTCTACCCTTAGAGTCCTTTAAGGACAGCATTTTGTTCCACTCCAATTTCGATTTGTTTAAGAAGACCTGATTCCTGATGAGGACATATACTCCCTTCCAGTCACTTCTTGAACTTAGCATCTGCTCGAACTGCTCGTACAGGGTGAAAGTTTTTTTGTGTACTCCGAGTTCCTGCGGGGGAGAAAAGTTAAAGCGTGGTGTGGGCAAAATGGCTAGGCGTGTGAAGTGTCATCCGCCGCACAGCTCGGCGTGGAATGAAAAGGAAATTAAAAGGGACAAGAAGGAACACAGTGTGAGTGGGGCTACACAGAAAAAAAGTGTGGCATGCCTTTTCTCCCCCACTTACCTTTACAAAACTGAAGTGGGGAATTTTTGTTATAATTATCGCGTCCTTTACAAACGGCGCGACGTTGAAAAAGTGGGCCTTGTGAAAGGATACATCCAAGGGGAACTCCAAGTTGTAGTTGAGGTCCTCCGCGGTGGATACAGACGTGGTGTGCAAATCGGGGGCTGTTATTACGGATGTGGCTGCTTCTGATGGGGATACATCCGATGGGGCTACTGACGAGGTGCCGCTCCGGGGTAATCCCCCCTTTGGAGTCTCGCCCAACCTGCGCAGCGCGTCCATATCTCGGACGTAACTCCGCTCTGCCGCTTCATCAAAGGGAGGCGCGCAACTCTCACCCATCACTTCCACCTCACCGTCCTCTCCCCCCTGCTCTGCCTCATGTTCACCCATCACATGGTCCCTGAGCGCGCCACCTAAAAATGAATTTCTACTCAAATAACTTCCACGTGAAGAAGAAGTGGAAAGGTCCGCTTCGTTCGTAGAATTGCCCCGATAGGTACACCTTTTATTTTTCTTCACTTTCTCAAAAATGTCTTTATAGTACAAAGCGCACCTGACAAGGTTCTTTTTGCATTGAGCAATCATAATGCTCCGACTGTCGGTACCGATTAACTGCACCTGGTGGTTCTGTGCACCATCTGGGTTGTCCAAAAGGTACCGATAGATGTGTAGAAACTCTTGCTGGTCATATATTTTCAAATTCATGAAAGGTAAAATTTGCTTGTCGTTATAAATTGGAATGCGCAGAAAATAAAACAACAACTCGAAGATGATGTTGCCATTGGAGCAGAAGGGATCCCAAATAAGTTTTACATGTTTTTGATTCTTCAGACATTTTTGCACAGCTAAAGAATATATACAGCTAGCTGCGTCGTAGCAGTCGTCACTTAAAAAGAAATTGTTATTGTGATGGTTCATTCTCTTTATTTCCATGTCACGCAGGTAGTTTAGAACACGTTCGTTGTCGGCGTGTGATATGCCGAGTGCATTGGTTGGGTTTGCTTCTGCCTTTTCCTCATGAGTGCATTTTTCCCCCCCTGCAACTTGTTCCCCATTGGAAAGCTCACCCACGTAAGGTGTATCATTATTTCCATTTAGATGACTGTTAATGTGGTAGTCGTCCCTTGGTGGTAAAACCTCCTTGGGACTCGTCAGACGGTCGAGTGAATCCCTCTTCAGGGCATCCCCAAAATAGCTGTACTTATAATAGTGTTGCGTTTCCTCCTCCGCAGAAGGGCCACGTTCATCACTTAGTTGAATTTTTTTTTTTTCCTCAAATATGGACCAAAATGGAACATTCTCCTGCACGATGCTCTTAATCTGACCATCAGAAATGTCCACGTCCTTATTGAAGAGCGAATGGAAATTCACATTATCACATTTGTCGTAGTTGGGTACACTCTCTAGGTGGTCCAAATGACAATACTGATAAAATCGAGGAGATAATTTTCCGGTAAATTTGATGTCCACATTGCATAAATTATCTTCAATATGAATAGCTAATAAATTCCATGTGTTTTTTTTTGTCCTTTCGTTTGTGTTTTCTACCACATTGTTTGCGTATGTTTGTGTATCCGGAGGGGGGTCCTCCAAGCGAGGGGTTACAAGACATGCGTGTGGCGATGGAGAGTGCTCTCCTGTCATGTGAGCCTCTTTGTATGACCTAGCGAACTCATTTAATCGCTCACGTACAACACGTCCAATATCGGCCACGTCAAACAGCTTGGACTTGCGTGAAGTGACCTTCAAGGGGATGTCCTCCAAATGGTTTGGAGAAATGTAGGAATGCCATGGGACCTTTTTGATGATCTCTTCCAGTGTGACCAAGGAAGTGCAGGAGGCATTTTTCGCAACGTTCAGCCATATGCTTTCCACATACCCACATTTTAATGATAGCAAATAAATGAGAGCTGGGGAGCATTTAATTTGCACCCCTCCATTGCATTTGCCTAGTCGAACTAAATGTTTTTCTTTTTTGCCTTTTTCATTTTTTTGTTCTGTGGCATTCTTTTTGTGCGCTTGGTATTTTGTTACTTCCCTCACGTAACGCTGCTTGATATCTTTCATCAGCGTAGCCTCTCCGCCCTTCCGCACACAGATGAAAAAGTTGTACACGCTGACAAACCTCCTTTGGGCGCACATCACAAGCGTTGCGCCCTTCATTGTGCTGTGTGATGTCAAAACGGGCAAGAGGCGAAGAAGGGAAGCGAAGCGAAGCAACGCGGTGTGACGTGGCACAACGCCGCGCAGGGATGCAAAACCAGATCGGTTTGCCTGACCACTACGCCATTTCGTCGCTCTTTCGTTGTTCCTCTTTTATGACAACTCCTACATTGTGGTATTTTTTTTTTTTTTTTTTTTTTTTTTGAGGGGGAGATAGCCACAGATCAAGGCAGCAGAATGGCACCCGTTTTTGCGAAGCCTTTTGTGCACGTTACACATCAGATGGAAGCGAAGCAGATATAGGTAATGCAACGTGATTTCCTAATATACACCACGACAAATCATTAACTCCTTTGATTAACCTTAAAAATACGACAACACAGGAAATAATCATTACGCTGGGGGAGAAATGGCTCCACCTGCCCAACACGTTTTTTTTTTTTTTTTTTTCTTGCAAACATAAAAAGAGTACATATTTTTACCTGACCTGTTCATAATTTTTATTCGCATGTGGCTTTTTCCTACAATATGATGTATGTCCCACGGGTGGAAAAGGGAGGGGGAAAATTCGAACGGAGATGGGAAGTGATGAAAGGTAAAACAATACAACATGATGCAAAAGCAAACCTTGCATGATGACGCAGAACGAATTACTAGTTATGACCTGATAACACAGTGTAACCATTTTATCAAATGTGAACAATGCGTTGTGCCTCGCCCAAAAAGGAATACTCACCAGTGTGGCAAAAACAAAACAAAATGACACACATTTCCATCCCTGAGCTATTCATTTGAGGTGGAACGCACAAACATTTCAATTTCACGCTGCGTCAAGCACAGCTCGCACACTTTTATTTATTTATTTTTTTTTTTTTCTCGCAAATGTGTACATACATTACACAATGAGAAGCGGAAGGAAGGTGATAAAGCGGACAAAAAAAAACAGGTCATACGTTGGGAGACGACCGCTAAAGCCTAGGCAGACATATATCTATGTGTATATGTATATTTATTTATATATATTTTAAAACTCTTCATTAGGGCTTCGAATTTTAGCACCCTTTTCCTTATCCCCTTCCCCCTGTGTGCATGCTTAATTTTTTTTTTTTGAGTTAAAGGTGGAGGAAGCTCTGCGCAGGAAAGGGAAGGAATGCATGTAATCATCCCTGGTGTGCTTCTTCGAGTGAAGGTGTTTTGTGTTTTTTTTTTGGGGGGGGTTATGCCTTTTGTGGAAGTGACATTGGCGCCGCCTACTCTACCGCATTGTATTCCTACGCGTGTCACTTATTTTGTTGTTTTATTTTTTTTTTTTTTATCGCGCTGCATGCAACGTATTTTGTGAAGGCGCACCCCCCATTGGCTAATGGAAAGAAACAGTGGCCCTAAAACGCACGAGTAGTTTCTCTTCCTTTTTTTTTTTTTTTTTTTTTTTCCTGCACACAGGGGTGGGGAAGAAAGGGCGACTGCATTGTAGTCTCTCACAGCAGTCGCTTGCACAGTTCGTTGTAGGGAAGGCCTCACGTGAGGCGCTGATGCAATGTGCTACGGCCCCAGGTGTTTCGTCTTCACCCAACAGGAATGGGAAGCGTTCCTGCCCGAGTTACACATGCTTAGCGAGATCAGAGGGCAAAAGGGGACACACCCCTATTTGCTCCGATGCATGCATATAATACACGTGTACATGCGTTTATATATATATTTATTTATAAATATATTTATAGTGTGAAGGATGCCCGCTCGGGCAAGGAAAAAGAAATCGGTAGAAAAAGCCAACAGAATTGCAGAGGGGGGAGGGCACAATAGCGATGAGATAAAATTCAACGGAATGCGCGGGGCACACTACATGCACACCGCGCGCAAGGAGGAGGCCTCTTAAAAGAGAAGAGATGGTCTTGAAAAAAAAAAAAACAAAAGGAAGGGCTAAGGGGAGAGGGCACTGCATCACATGCAGCCTGCACAGAGCAAGAATACATGTATAGGTCTTGCCGAGGACGCACGGCTTGTCGCGGCATACCAGCTTGCGCAATGAATGCATTAAAAGGGGTAACAAACGAAGGGGAGCAGCGCAAACGTAGGTGTGTACTCCGCAAACCATGCGACAGGGAGTGATTCATTTTAGAAGCGCGATTTGAAATTCAAAAATGAAAAAAAAAAAATATGCACATTTTGACAGGACCAAACTTTGATATGTCATCGCGTCATATTCAGTTTAATTAATTCACGTTAACTTTAATTTTTTTTAATTTAATTAATTTATTTATTTAATTTATTGTATTTCATTTAATTAACACCAATTAACTCTACTGCCTTTTAGGTGAATTTTTTTTTTTTTACACTTTGCCCTTTTTGGTACTGCTCACTGTGTGCTTGGCATTTCCACCGCGTTTTTCCCCCTAATTAAAATTACACCAGGTACAAAACTACGCTAAGTAGAAAACTGCCTCAGTAGAATAATACACACCTGCGATTACCGCGTCCCGTCGCCCCGCCCATTTTTTACACAGCCGCCCCCCTTCTACCAACATGATAACCGCCGCGAGAGCGTACCTGGCCCTGGTAACTTTAGCCTGCTGTGTGCTCCTGGGCCAGCACCAAGCCCTAATCGAGAATTCGCTTTTTTTTTTTTGCACCCGAAAAACGGCTCCAACAAAAATGTGTACATACAGAGAAAGTACCAGGAGCTGTTGAAGTACAAGGAGTCTGATGAGTGCCTGAACGATTTGCTACAAAGAAATTTAATAAAGTTAATCGCCATTGATATAGACGGAACTCTCGCAGATGACAACAGTAAAATAAGTGATGAAAATTTGAACGCGATAAAATTGGCCAAGCGATTAGGTATAAAGGTTATTCTTGCCACAGGCAGATTACATAATTTCTCCATGAGAATGTTTACACAAAAGCAAAAGGACACTTACGAATTGGAAAAAATGGACGGAGTGTATTCTCATGGGGCTTATTTGAATATAAAAGGAGTAGATTATGTGTATCGCAAATTTAATATGATTGACATTGAATTCATTTTATTCGCTTTGTCATCACGCAATGCCTTGAAGAATGCCACGTTTATAACCCCCAATGTTGTGTACATCTTCAATGACGACCCAGAGTTTAAGAAGCACTACCCGGTGTGTGAAATAGGAGATGATGTACTTATAAATGTAAAGAAAGACAAGTCGTTGGACAAAAGACACAATGCAGTTTTGCTGACTCACGTCAAGGACATACTAATGATTGGTGATATCGTTTCTGTGGAGATATATGAAAAAATTCATCCTGAACAAGAACCACTTAAGGAACTGCACACAGAATTATATTCCGAGTTAGAAAACAGATTTAAAATTTACGTACCTCCACATAAAGGAAAAATAGTCCTGTCCCCCATCAACACCTCAAAAATACAAACCATTCAATTGTATGCACAGTTTTATGACATTCCTTTGAACCACATATTGTCAATTGGAAATGATAATAATGATTTGGAGATGCTGGCTTCTACTGGTTACTCCGTCGTGGTGAAGGGCTCCACGAAACCTGCGTTGAAGGTCGCCAGATGTGTCAGCACCAAGACCAACAACGAGAACGCCGTGGCCAATATTATATTCAAGGTTATCACGGGCAGACACATGTGAAAAACAGAAAGAAAAAAAGGGCTATACCGCTCGTTGCGCTTCAACACATGTGTGTCGCTTCTTTGTCGAGTGTAGGTGTGGCAGTGCCCATTCCTTCCTTCCCTCTCAACGGCTGCAATCCACGCGCAGCATCGTATGCAGCAGTGTACATATGTTACGTACTTGTGTGTATTTACTGTCCGTGCGCTTGGGCTGCTTCCCCCTTTTTCGCCACGGCGAAGGAACAGCATGTCGGCCCGTGCAAACCAAATGAGTGATGCTTTTGCACACGTGACATATATACTTATCTTCACGTGTGCATGTTGTACATGTAAATTTTTTTTCCCCCCCCCAAGTGTTTACGTTGTCATAGTGACCTCACAGAGTAGCATTCACATTATACATTGTGAGACGTGATCTTTTACCAAATTCTTATGTTTTGTAAAATTAATTCCACCCATATTAATTCAGTAGGATAATTCATTTTTTTTTTTTTTTTGTTTTGTTTTGTTCATTTTTGTTTTTTTTTTCTGTACACATGAGTGATTTTACAACGTGCGCGTTTATTTACACAGTTGTGCGCGAATGTGTGAAAAGTGCTTCACCCCACAAAACGCGTCTCTCCATCCAACTTCGACCACAACGACACGAATTGTATTGCAAAGACGTAAGAGGATTAAAAATTGTAGAGTATGAGCAAAGGTCCAGTAACAATGCAACGCGGAACGCAGCTAATAATTATAAAACCATGCAGCGATGGTCGGTCGAAGGGGCCAAATGGCCTGCAAGGTTTCAAGGGTAAAACGGAAGGGACTTGGTATGCACACACAAACACCCCTGGTCTGGCATATTTTTGTCGCAGGGATATATAGGGCACAAAGCGGAAGGTATATACACATACACATATATATACAATATTGTATGATAGAAAAAAAAAAAAAAATTTAAAAAAAA